ATATGACACAATTGAGGAAAATGCCACCAACTTCTAGCCTCCATGCAAACAAGCCTGGACCTACAATAAATGTTCTGCCTTAAGAAAGTGAAAAGATTCAAATGTTAGTGGAGTAAGCAGTGACCTTCTGATTGGATTTAAGACCTGATCCAGAAGATGGAGCTCATTCTGGCATGGGGCCAAGAATCTATAACTAGATAAGTTGTGGGCCCTAGGGGAGAACCTACTACTAATTTGCTAAATGGACAGTGTCAAACTCCTAATGACTTATCTTTCTAACTTGAGATTAGTGCATCTCTCAACCTTTATCAGAGAAATTTCTTTTGACAGCCTACTGGCAATTAACCCCCAACTGGTCAAGGTGCAGAGAATAAGAGACTGTGGCTTGCTCAGCCCTAAATGGGACCTTTATATCACAGCCTTTCCTCCCAAGGCTCAGGGATTATTGTGGAAGAGGAAATGGAAAGATTGTAAGAGCCAGAGGTAGTGGATGACTACAAGGAAACAGTGTTTCCTGGACACATCAGGGAAATTGCACATATGGAATCACAGTGGCAGTGACACCATGCACAAGACCTGTTCAAGTTCAAGTCAGAAAAAATCTTATCATGGAGTTATTGGCAATTGATAACTGTTGGGAGGTGGAGAGTCAGTAGTCTTTAAGGATCTGGCCTATGGTAGGTTGACCATGCTCCAGTAGATGACCACACATTCAAAAGTATGTGGGCAGCACAAATCAAACTCAATGGTTTGGGGTTTTTTTGTTGTTGTTACTTTTAAAGGATACAACATTGGATAGGTAGGAATGAGTCTCGGAGGAGCTGGGGAGTGGGGGTGAATAAGAGCAAAATACACTGTGTAAAATTCTCAAAGAATTAATACAATTTTTAGAAAAGAAACATCTATGAAAAAACAAAAATGAAAGGGAAACAACAAGACAAAAAACAACCCCAACCTACTGTGCCTAACAAAGACCCCAGCTGTCTGCCACCTGCTAGGCAAACAGATTCTCTGTATGGTACTCCTCTCTAATCTTTAAGCCCTACAGACAATTTTATTAATTCATGTGCCCATCCACTCATTCTTTCAGCTATTTGGTTATGTCTAATATTTATTGATCCTACCTGGCTAGACCCCAGTGATAGAATGTCAGGTAAGTAGAATCAAGAAAGCACAAAAGTTCTAAATTCTTATGGTGTTGGGGTGGGGGGACACAACTTGCAAGTCAGATAAATGCAGTAACCAAACATTGTCCTTAGAGAGGTTGAAGAGTCTGAGCGCAGACACAAGAGGTACCTGGTCCAGATGTGGCCCCTGAAAAACAATTTGGGAGGGCACAAAATATAAACCAAGCTCCAAAGTCTGAGTGGTGGTTATCCAAAAGGAGAAGGGGATCAAGGGGACATTCTAAGCTTTAGAATGACGTGTTCGAAGGCTCAGTAATGACCCCTTTAATGAAATGAAAAGTATTTGACATAAAGGAAATGGCTGAATACTTAGAAGGGAGGTAAAGACAGTTGGCTTCAAATCAGAGAGGAACTTTGGCGATATGGAGGACTTTAGGACAGTAATCAGCACAATGACTTCAGATTTGTTCCCTAAAAAAGCTGTTCTTAAATGTGAAGGAGCAACTGCAAGAAATAACCCAGGAGGCAAGAGGGTAGGTGGGAATGGAATGATGCCAGACTGTTTATGATGGGATGGGGGAGTAATGCCAGGCTATCCATGATGGGATGGGAACCAGATTGCAAAATTCCAGCAGATTTGAGAGATAAGACTACAGGGAATAAAAATGTGCCTTTTAAAATTTTCCAGCTGCTCAATGAGTGAGATGTACTGCCTTTGACTGAGTAAGATGGGATGCAGATTGGCAGGCACAGAGGGACGGAGGGCTGGCCTGAAAGAAGGTATAGTTTTAGAAAGTGCTTGTGAGGTATCCACATATTAATATTCCTAGGGCGTTTCACTTTTAATCATAGAATGATAGCAGAATAATAAACAAGGCACAGCTTGAGCTCACAGTTATCCAAAGGCCTGGCTTTTGTATGAAGAGCATGGCTTTCTCTGAGTTTGTATTTTGAGGTCTGTTCTAGGAGTAAAAATCTGTAGCCCAACTTTTCCTTTCTACAGCATTATTTCTATCTCCATCATCTCTGTCCTTAATGGCATTATAATGTTTACTTGTGAAGTTATTGAAAGCATGCAAGTTTTCTTATTGTAGGTTAAAGTTAAGCTGTCTGAATACCACAAGATCTCTAGAGTCAGCCTGCTCATATAGGCTAGAGATTTAGCAGGTCATGGAAATTAATGATAATACTGAGAAGATGCTGATGAAAAATTATAACGCTCAAGACAAAGATACAAAGAGCACTGGTCCAGGTGAGATAGAGGCAGCTAAGTGGAGCAAAAGGGCCAGTTAGTCAGGGGAAAGAAACCAAATCATGAAAGTGAGGGGGTCTATGAGCCCCAAGAAAGTGACCATTCTAATATGAAGATAATTTTACTAGGTAGGCTTGATTGTAAATTCATGCCATGACATTCATAACAATAGCATTCAAAAGTAAAAGTAAAAGCTCAATGCCAGAATGACTCCCTCTCTAGAAGCTGTTGACTAGGGATCCCATAGACCTTCAAACCACACTGGCCATTGCCCCTGCTCTTGGTTACCCACCAGAACTTGATGGTAAGACTCTATTGCTGAGATGTTACATACATGAGCTATTGAACAAACAAGAGGAAATCAAACTAGTGTTGACTTCAAAGCCTCATCTCTACTGGCTAGCTTTCATAGTGCTAGAAGGTGCTCTGCAAGCTGCCTGAAAGGAAAATTAATCATCAACATTATCCAGCTGTAAATTCTGCAAGCTATAACAACTGGCCTGGCACTGTGCCCACTGCTGCTATAGTGGCATGACTATTATAGGAGTAACCAATCACTTTTCAATTTGATTTGCGATCCACTTCATTAGATGGAGCCTATACCTGACATTCATATCAGGCTTAGGAATATGAGGCTAGACAGGTCACAGGCCATGAGAGAGAGCCTAATACTATTATTCTTCTAAATAGATATAGTATTAAACTGTTTCCTAATGACTTATTGTTATGCCCATATATTCATCCATCATTCTACTCTCAGAAGAGAAGCTTCCTTATAGCATATGGTGATTAACACAGAGAACCACACCTGGTCAAAATGCAGAGAACAAGAGGCTGCAGAGTGCTGATCCCTGAATAGGACACCTATATCAAATTTCTGCCTCCCAACTCAGGGATCATTACAGACAAGGGAGTGGAAAGATTGTAAGAGCCAGAGAAGGTAGATGACCATAAGGAAACAGTTTTCCAGGCAGCTGGTAAGTTACTCATATGAACTCACAGCAGTGGTAACAGTGTGTACAAGTCCTGTGTAAGTTCAAGTCAGACAAACTCCCAGCATAAAAGCAGGGAAGTGGGGAAGAAACCCCAGTGGTACCTGAGGAAGTACCTGGCTTTGGGAAGGGAGTCAATCAGTCTTATTTAAAGGTGAGACTCTTGGTAGACTGACCAGGCTCTGGTGGATGAACCCACACTGAATGGCATTTGGGGAGACAAATTTGACTTTATAGGCAAATATATATATATACACACACACATATATATATATAACACATATGTGTGTGTATTTACACATTAATTGGGTGAATAGTAAGGAAAGGAATCTAAATATGATCAAAATATATTGTTTTAGGGCTGGAGAGATGGCTTAGCAGTTAAGAGCACTGGCTGTTCTTGCAGAGGACCTGGCACCCACA